ACTTGCTCAGCATGCTTTTCTTTCTTTCTCCTACCACCCCCCTTTGGTTTTCTGGAGAAAGGTTTTCTCTGTGTAGCCCTGGCTGTCCTGGAACTGGCCCCATAGACCAGGCTGGCCTCAAACTCAGAGATCCTCCTGTCTCTGCCTCCCGAGTACTGGGGTTAAAGGGATGTGTGTGTCATCTCCACTTGGCTTAGTTTGCTTTCTTATACAGCCTAGGGCCTACCTACCCAGGGATGGTACCCATCTGCAGTTGAGAGATGCCCTCCACCATCAGTCAGGATCCAGAGAAGTCCCACAGACCATTCTGATGGAGACAATACTTCAAAGGGTATCCGGGCTTCCCAGGAACACCATGTCAAGCTGACCAAAGCTAACTGTCATACCCACCTGCTTTCGGTTTCTATTAATATGCTGAAAAAGTACCTTAGTTTATGATTGTCTTTGTTTTGTTATGAGAGTAACTTTATCAGATCATTGCCATGTTTGAATGGAGTTTTGGGTAACCTAAATCTGAGTGCCCAGTCATTCATATTTGGTCCAAAAGTAAATATCTCTTGCTTTTTTGAGGTGAGGGTTCTTTATTGTTTGTTTGTTCACATGGTCTCTCGCGAATGCCTGCTTCTAAGAACACAGATGTTAACACTGTGTATGGAAATAAAGCATTCCCTTCCATTTTTCCTTTTTTTTTTATCCATTTCCCTATGCCTCTCACCATGCTGTTGTAGTGAAGGATTAGATCCTACCATTCAATACCTACATTTGCCTTCTCCCTGGCAGCATCCACACCCTGATTTCATTCCTTGAAACAAAGAAATAAACAGCAATACCCAGGGCTCTGGAGACAATTTGCCCTTGTCTTTAAAAGAAAGATATGTATCAGAGTACAGGTTCCCAGAAGTCAAGCAAAGAGGTCCTTGATAGTAGATCTGACCGCCCCCCGCCCCCAGCTCTCCTAAGATGGGAAGCAGAGGTGGGAAGAGCCCTGAAGCTCCATTACAGGCTAGAATGAGAAGACCCTGCCTCAAAAAAAGGTGTAGGGTGAGGACTAACACCAGATTTTGCTCTCTGAGCTTCAGCAGGTACACCACGTAGGCTACCTACACTCACATATAGAAACACATGTGGGGTGGGGTGGGGAGAGTTAGACTGTGTGACAAGCCAATTATGAAGCCTTGCTTCATAATTAGGTTTTTTCGATCCCTTCACCCACCCCCACTTCCCATCGAGTTTATGTGGCACTTTATATATAGCAAAGTTGTCTTCTTAGTTATAAATTGTTGCGGCAGCCCAGATTCTGAAGTATCTACAACTTTCAAGCGTGAAGTTTATGCAAACAGTCAAGGAAACGCAAAGAGTAATGATAATGCAGGTAATACCAAAAACACACCACTAGAGAATTCCAGGGAGAGCTACTAATTCTAAGTGGAGTAATCAAAGTATTTAAGAAATAGTATCATGATACAGAGATGAACAGATGGTGAAACTCTTTAAGCAACTTTTAGTAGAACCAGGCATGGTGGTACAGGACTTTTCAACCCCAGCAGTAGGGAGGCAGAGGCTTGCAGATCGCTGAGAGTTTAAGATTAGCATGGTCTACATAAAGGGTTCCTGGATAGTCAAAGCTACATAGAGAGATCCTGGCTAAAATCAAACAAATGTCATATATAGTCGTAACTTTATTAAGTTAAAGTTAAAATATGATTATTAGAAAGATGGATTAATACTAGTAAGGTTGATATGCCTGTATAAGACACTGGCATTCAGCAATTGAGTAAATAATGTAGATGGCAGAGTCTCATCTCTTGCTGTTGGAGTTAGCATTCAAAGATGAGTGAGGGAGATGGGCTAAAGGGATCTTCGTGATAATACAGTAATCTGAGGCCCTATAGTTCTCAATTGGTTTACAGATATTTAGAAGTACACATGGTACATACAGAAACATTTATTGGTGCCTGTATACACAGAGTACACATACACAGAACTCTGTTCTTTTGTATTGAAGGACTAATCAACATTGCATTACCTAGAAACAAACTTGGAGTCCATACCTTAGTTTCTGTTATTATTCCTCAATAAGAGGAAATGGTCCTCTTTGAAGAAAGGTCTCTTTGGCTGTTTGCAGTTCTAGGCAGTTCAGAACCTGGGACATCTTGAAAACTCAGGGAATTGTTATACACATTTAAGGTGACCAAGAGTAAAAAATTACTAAGCAGCTATGAACCAACAGAGTTCTCAATGACCCAAACTGAAATATTTGAACAAACAAATAAGAAAACATCAGATTATTACCAAATGTATAAAACCCCTATTTATATTAACCAATTGAATTAAATTTTAAATGGGTATAGGGCCCATGGGCCTACCCCTGCTCCCAGGGTTCATTTTGAGGACAGTTTCTGGCCAGGCAGCATTTGTTCCTGTGCTCTCTCTGCCCGGCCTGGTGATTAGCTATAGGACATTGTTTAGTCCATCTTGGGAGTGGCAGTTTCCCACCTGCCTGGGGGGAATTCCTTGTGCAGCAGCCAGGTATATAAGAATTTTCCTAAACTTGAATAAACGGCATTCGGCTGAACTCCTTCCGAATGACCCAGGCCCTTGCCCGGCTCACGTAGGATACAGTGGCCCGCTAACTGTACCGAAAGTAACACAGGCGCAGGCCTTACAGTTGGAGGCCCTGCTGCGATATCAGGAGTTACACACGGGGAGTGCACACAAAGCTACTATGTGGAAGAATTTCACTTATTTCACATTCTGCACACAATCTTCACACAGCTGAACAGAGCTCCCCGTAGGTGCTGACGTCACGTGGTGGATGTTTTCCAGCCATCCAGGAGTGATGGCGTCACAGCTTTACAACAGAAAGTCCCGGCTGCCTGTCAGCTGACCAAGGCCAGCATCATCATTGTCACTGTGGTGGTTGGTAATCTTCGATGCTGCACTGAAAGGGCCCTTCACCGCTGTGGTCCTCGTTTCTGGAGCCTAGAACCCTAGTCTTATCACACGAAAGACGTCAGTCACCTGGTAATACTGTGGTGTTCCCCAAAAGCTTAACTGCTACCTTTCAACTGTCAAGGCCATCAAAAACAAGGAAGCTGAGAAGCTGTCACAGTCTGCAGGAATCTTAAGGGATATAACAATGAAATACAATGTGGTATCTTGGACAGGAGTACAGGAAAGAGCTGAAGGCACTAGGAAATCTAGAGAAATCTGTGTTAACATTTAGTTAACGCGTGAGTGTCAGTTATTAAAGCAAGGAAGCTGCTGTATTTCTGTGTGTTTCATGGTAGAAAAGAGGGAGTGTGTGACCTGTGGGAAACTCTACTAAAAAATAAAGTCCCCAGTTCACCTATACACCAACCTCATGCTAAAATGACATCTATTAGACACTGAAAAGTACTAATATGGTGATCTAGCTCTAAACACTGCTTTGAGGGATTATCTACCATTTCTACTAGTGACGACCTTCCAGCACACTCACTGCTGGTGGGGTTTCTACCCAAATTTACGTCTAAAGTACATATTCAAGGCTAATTTAAGCTTGATAATAGTGAAATTAAGATGTTATTTCTCAACGTTATTTGGCACTCATGAGCTTTATGCACATAGGTCTATGATGCAAGTTAAGAATTCAGCATTTTGCCATAGGATGGAGGGCTTTGTCTAAGGAAAATGAGTCATAGGGACGGACTAGACTGTCCCAGATTTTCAAGTGCACACACCCCACACCAAAATCTGAGTTATTAATTTCATTTTGCTTGTTTTGTATCTCTGCTGGCTACACTACCTCCTTTACTCTGGAACGGATAGAGGAGTAAGAATTTTTCATTTAGTATCTTCTGTGACCTTATACAACTTCAGTGTAAGATGTGCTGGGCACATGCCCAGGGTAATACCAACGAGACATAATGAAACTCACAGGGGAAGCCAAGATAAGTCAAATGAGGAACCGCCACCCTGCAGAATGCTGGTGTAAGGAAAATCCCTGCTTAGAAATGACGTGATTGAGAAAGAAACCCTGGCCAAGCAACAAAGATTGAAAATCCTCAGCTGCCTTTCCCCCTTAACACTACCAAGCCCCTCAATGGTTGGTTTGGTCACTAACTGGAAGGAAACAAAAGCGAGGACATTTAAAGAGGCAAGGACAAGAAAGAGGCTTGTGTGCACCAGCGTTTATTTTTTTCTCCAAGGGAAATTCTGAGAAACCTGGGGGGAATTACAATCATCTCTATATATGAATTCTGACTCTTGGTTTTCAAATATTATGGCTTTCACCCAGACAGTTTCCCCAAAATGCAGGAGAAAGCAGGGTGTTAGGAGGAACGTCTGTCCACAAGGGAACAGCACTAAAATCCTGGGATGCCCCTTCTCTGTGTCCTTGAGTAATATCTCTGTTCTGCCCCTCTTCACTGAATTGGGAGATCCTCATTCTATCTCATTCTACCACAATAGGAAGAAAATCAAAGGTTCAAAGCTTTCAGCTTTCGTAACTGTTTTGACTTGTGTGTGTGTGTGTGTGTGTGTGTGTGTGTGTGTGTGTGTGTGAAAAGCAAGTGAATCGTCCTGTGCGGGATTTAAGAAGACCGATTGCCCACTTAATTTTTTTTTTCCGAAGTATTTGACTGCTTATCTCAATAGACAATCAGCCCTCAAATTCAGCGAAATGAACAGTACTGATAAGGAAGATGGAGAGGGTGGGAAACCCACACAGTCAGATGGAGCTGTCCAAACAGCCTCGGTGACAGGGGAGCGCAAAGAGCAAGGACTCCCTGCAGACAAAGTCTATCTGTCTCTTCTCTTTTGTTGCTCAATCCGGCAATGCCGCCTGTGTGTAAAATCGTTCACAGACGATGAGCCTTCACACAGGGGGGCAGCGTGTGTCGGATGCAGCTGGCAGATGCGGTGGCCTGCGACCCAGAGCGGAGCGTCTCCCCCCGCGGCTCGCACGGAGTGCGCTGCTCCGGCGGGGGATGACTTCATTCGGCCCGCCTGGAGTAGCCAGCGGCAGCAGCTGCAGGTGGGGCGGGGGCCGCAAGAGCCCAGAGATCCCAGCACACGCGGACAGTCGGCGGGACTGCAGCCCGGGGCAGCCAAGTCGCGCCTCTTCATCCCGAAGGTAAGCCGCGGGCCCGCGCTAGCCGCCCAGAGCCCGGCTTTCCGCCAGGTTGATGACTAGGCTTTGTAGGACCCGGGAAAGAAGGGATAACCCTGCTGCATTCTGCAGTGGGAAAAGGAGTGAGTGAAAGGTTGACCAGCCTTGCATTGGACATGCATGGGAGGAGAGAGATGTTCCAGAGCAAACAAAGGGGCTTTCAGCCTCCAGATCTTAAAGGTGATCAACCATTTCCGTAGCCTGTTGGTAGACACCGAGGAGTATTCCGAAACGTAAAACAGTCTGAGCTCCTGTTTCACCTTTGTGTCTTCAACCTTCAAGCCATCGCTCCCTGGTTTGGGAGCACCATGTCCTTGGAAGCAGTTGGGGAAGTCATCAATAATCTTGCCTCTCTGTTGTCCTCTTTGGTTCTCTGTCATCCCTGGTATCAGGGTGTTCCTTCACTCATCTCAATGTCATAACACCTGCTTGCTTAGATGCTTTGCTTTGGGAATCCCTCCGGGTGGAAGGAAAACTTCGCTGTCCTCCTGAGTTCTGCTTAGTGTGAGCTGCACTTGGCAGCTTCTTTCATTTCCTTCTCTGTCAGTCAGTTCATTGATCTTCAAAGATGCTCTGTCTACTCACAGGTCAGCTCATCGTCTCTTATCCTCCTTCAGTTCCGTGAGTGACCTCATCAAGGACCCAAAAAGGGCATTGTGCTCACAGGGTGCCTTATTGGGAATTCCATTAACACACCGGCGCCGGTGTACTTTCTCCAGTCCCCAGACATAGAATAAAATGCCCTGCTTTCAACTCAGGACCAGTGTGGTTTTCTCTAACTGCCTTTCTTGCCTTTCTTGCACTCACTCTGTTCAGCTAGTCACAAAGGCTTGAATGGGAAAACAGACTCTTGGGCTGTGCAGACTGTAGGCAAAAGAAAGCTGCGAACGGCAGTCTTTCCAGTTCTCTTTAACATTTCTAGTTCACTGGGGTGTAAGAAAATTAGCTATCTGAGTTTAGGGCAACCATTCCAAACAACAAGTAGTGTTCTTGCCCCAGGATTCCTCAATAACCTGCAACTGGGGCTTTCCCATTGGCAGACAGACAGCCAGGGGTCTGCCCAATCCTAGGCTTGGATTATTTGCTCATCCCAGGTTTGTCTCCTCACATAGGCTCCCCACACTCTGAGCCTCTGCTGCCCTCTCCCCACCCTTGCCCCCAGCTCGATCCTTATTCTTGTTGTCACCTAGTGACATACCTCTGAATAAGATGGGAGCAGTTAAGATGGCTGTTGTGGATCCAGCAAATGTGTACCTCACCATCAGAGAGCAGTTGCTGAAAGGCAGATTGTGGGGAGTCTGTAAGCCGATATTCCATTTCATTTAAATGATCTGCCATCTGACACTTGAAATCGCAAAAAAAAGTTTGATTCAACAACCTTGCCATTTTATTCAGGATAATAGGGAAAGCAATGAAAAGGAGGACATAATTTAACCTACAATGACACCTTTGCTTGTTTCCCCTTTCCAGTGTTGCCGATTCTCTGAAGCCAGGCTAATTCTAGGGTGCATTGGTATCACTTTTCTAATTACAAATTCGCTTTTGAGAAATCCTCTCTATGAAGATTGAGTTTGTTTCTTTGTTTCCACCTTCAGTATCTGGGCAGAGGGAGGGGATACCCACCACAAAATGGCCCACTCCACACACTGTCTTGGGGATTTTAAGGAACTGAGGGCCATTTCTGTTTGTTTACTGATGTTATTGTGTTTTGAATATGGTTTGTATTTCAGGTATTAAACACTTGAGATCCTAGAATTTTGACTCAATAGCATCTTCTAGTAAAAGAAACAAAGAATAAGATGGAGGTGGGAGTCCTCACTTCCATGACCTTTACTGATTTAAAAATACTTCATGACTCAATAATTTTTTCTGAAAAATAACTGATAAATATAAATAATTCCCTCTTTAAAACTTAGCTCGATGTATTCTAAATTGAAGTTCAATTATATAATGATCATTTGACTCTACAGGAATAAAAACAATATCTATACTGTTACGAGCTATATGTTTTGGTTAAGAGAGAGATGCCCAAGAACATTCCAATGGTGATTAAGAATTCTAAGACTCTGTTATTTGGTTTCTGAGGAAAATGAATTGTCTGCCAAGAAATCAGTTCAGGATCCAGGAGCTGGTGCTCGGTGAATTGGTAGGATGCCTGCCAACGTTTTCACAGGAAACTGATTCACTAAGTGAAGGACTGGAGTTAAGGGCACCTTGTAGGGAAGGAAGCAGCTTTAAGATATAATTTTCATTCTGGTACAAATGAGGACAGGACACATACGGAACTCCAGATTTGAACCTTGTTACATTTAAACAATTTTGAGAAATAGTTATAAATTTAGAGCACTTGATAGAAACACACACACACACACAAACCTACTCACACACTTGTGCATGCACACACCCGTTCACATACACATACTCAAACAGCACACACAACGTACTCACATGTACTCACACACATGCACGGCACACATACACAGGCACGCACACACACCCTTTGCAAGTTTCTCGGAAGAAAAAGGAACAAATTTGCTGATATTCAGAAATGAAGTGGAGAATAGACTCCTCCACAGAATAAGAGCTACTGGAGTGTTCCTGTATGTTTGACAAGATAGAATTGAAATCAGTCAATTGCTTTCCAACCCCTAGATCACTGTCTAGCAACCAGTGAGAGCAGAACCTAAGCAGGGGCAAACTAAGAGGTCGGAGTTGACTTCTCATGACAAAAGAAGAGAGTGTGGTCTTGTCTTGCTACGATGAACTACATCTAAATTAGCCTTAAGTTGAAATAATGAAAAACGGAAAGATGAAGGAAGAAATGTCATTTTTGTTGATTCAGTTCCTCCAGTGATAATCAGTAGGGAAAATCGTGTTATATTGGAGGTCCGGGCTAAAATCTGAGACCCTGGTTCAAACACAAAAGCTACTTTGAATATTACCAGTGATGCTTTGCTTTAATGGATAGAGTTCCGCAATACTCTTTTTAGTATTTATAATAACTAATATACACCATGCAGCGTGATAGCTCGTCATCCAGCTCAGTCAGCCTCTCAGAGTAGCCCACGCCCAGCCGAACATAAATTCATTCCTATGCATGCCTCCTCATGCAGGTGAGGTCTTGAAACGTGTTCACCACTGCCTCTGACTCTTCCATGAAGCTTCCTCTGGTGAGATAAACTTTCTTCTCGATGTCTAAATTCCTATAGATTTTATGTCTTACACCCTTTCGTGTGAACTTGCACTGTCTCCTTATTAAACACAGACATCTGAGACAAAGTCCGGGAGCCAATCAGCATATCACCTGTGGCCGTTCTCACAGTGCGCAGGTGTGTGTCCAGGAACGTGGTCACGGGCTGGTCAGGACAAAGGGCTGTGCGACAAGCATGTAGACAAGCGTGACCAGAAGTTGACTGCTGTAGTCCACGTTTGGACACACCCATTCATCATAGGAAAATGTATATCTCCTTCACTTGTAATTTATTCTTAGTATTGCTATATGAGGTAATTTATTTGTCATGGTCAAGTGAAGGAAACAATGATAAATTATGTTCATCTGCCAAACAGTCTAAGGAGATACACACCGCCTTGAATAAACAGAAGTGCCTTAAAAGTCTAAGCTGGAACGTAAGGAGCCTGGAGCTATCTGGCATAGCTGCTGGTGATTTATAAGATAATTTAACATTTTATAGTATATTTTGAAATTTTTAAAATGTGACAAAGTGTACACACATTAGGAAAATAGGCCATATATAGTGTATAGATTTTATGTATCTTAAAGTTAATGTAGTAATTTAACTATGTAAAATCTGAAGTCATGTAACACATCAATTTACTATTTTAACTCATTTAGTTACCTGTATTTGCAATGTTCTACAAACACCATGTTATTCATTTTCGGAACATTTTCATTATCCTAACAGACTCTTCTTCATTCTCTGTGCCCCTCAGGACGCAGGACGTTCTCTATTTGTGCCCATAGAATTTCCTATTTTGTGTCACAAAAAGTGGAAATATTACATCTGTTGTCTTATTTTGTCTGACTTTTTACACTTAGCACAATGCCTTCGGAATTTATCCATACCACTATGTGCCAGAATTTTATTTCAATTTAAAGCTGTTTTATTCTAGACTTATACTATATTTTGTAATTTTTGGTAGCAGAACACTTTCAGTACTTTGTATTTTATACTGCACTATGCTTTTTAGAAAGCAAGTGATATTTACCGGTTTTCTGTGTGTGTGTGTGTTCTAATTTATCCTGCCAAAACAGTTGATAATTATGTATTAAGTTCAAAATTTTATTGTGACTTTAAGTCATGTTTATATTATTATAGATTTAGCAGTTTATATGTATATAACATGAAGCTATATATACTGTTTACATATAACATAAAAGTTAATGCCTTTTACATTTGGTGGAAGAGTGCCTAAACATTTACGCTTGAATATGTAAGCTAATTAAACGAATTGTGATCTTGCTCAGCAGATAGTATTTATGTTTATTGCTGAACCAGTTCCAGCTATCTTGTAAATGAACCCAGTAATAAAAGGAAATCCATCCAGCGTAAGCTGAGTAAGGAGAAGTCTCACATTTTGTCATTTGTAGTTTGTGAAGGAAAACACTCTGCATAAATATTGGAAGATTTCAAGGCTCACATATTTTGTCATTTCAGAATAGTGCCAGTGCATCACAGATGTCAAGTCTTGTAACAACGATGAATTAATGTAAAATGATCTGGAGCAGTTTTTCTTTGTCTTAAGTCCCAGAAATGAATACTTGTATTAGCCTAATCTAAACCATGTTTTGGTTGTAGGTTTAAATTTATGGACCAACTTTATGGTAAATCTTCTTGTTTGTCGTACTGGTGTAGTCTTGTAATCTAGCTTTTTGTTTGTTTGTTTTATTCTTCTCCCTTATATTATATCCGGCCACAGTTCCTCTTCCTGCCCCTCCCCCAGTC